CCGGCGCAGACGGAGCTCAGTGAAGGACGGCGGCGGCGGCACGAGTTTCCGTGAATTTATTGGGTTTAGTACAAAATAGCTATGGCTAAAATTCGCTAGCTTAGGAGGAGCTGCTACTGGTGAGGTCTCTTTCAGGGCTGTAAAACAACACTTCAGGTTATGAGGGAAGATGAAGCAATACCGAGAGGGCAGGAGTTCAGAAATGTTTCAGACTCTAAGGAAGGGAGAATGCTGGAAAAGAACAGGATGCTCAAACCAGCTACATTTGATTAAAAATAAGCATTTCAAGGTAGGTAGACTTTACATGAGAATTTGTCAAGAAGTATTCCAATATTAAGCCAGCTTATTCATACACTCCAACTTAGTTACTTTATCCAGAGGAAGGTCTCTTCCCTCCCAACCATTATTACTGCAATGCCAGATGTTCTCCTGGTCGCTGGTACCTCAACAACCCCAGCCTGCGTACCTGTCTCGGTGCTAGACTGACATAATTTAGCTATCACTGCCTCAGGTAGGAGCACCACACTTCAAAGCAACACCTGCATTAACTCCGGGCAACTTCAAGCTCGCTCTGCTTAAGTGCATCGAACGCCGGCTCCGATCGCTTTACAGTAAAGCTCTGGCTTTAGATCCAGGTGTCATCTCCTCCTGACCACGTGACTCATTTATTATCATACTTAAGGCCATAGTCTTTCTACTTTGCAAAGATTCTCTTCTCTGTTGTAGTTAGATGCTGGGAAAATAAATTCAAATAACTGAAAATACAATGAGAACACATTTCAAATTCCAAATCTACAACTGAGGTTCTTTAACCAGAAACATCCAACAGCACAATGCCCCCTTTTCTTCCTTTGTTCCTTCTTCGCTTCGAAGGCACTTCTGGATTGCGTAGTACATGCTCTTTGGCTGCACAGACAGTCAGAACACATAAGGCTTGCATGCTAGTCACTCCTCTTCCTTTGTATTACTGGTCTCACTCTCTTTCTTATCCACTCCCTGATCTGCAGGCTTTGCAGTACTGTCTTCATACTGACACAATCTGCTTCGGCTCCGGGCTCCTGGCTGGTACAGCTGCATTGCTGGACGATCCTGAAATAAATCAAAACTATTTAGACTCTTTCACAGCCCCATGCTATCATGGTCATTAAGGCATCAGTGATATTAGAAATGGCTCAAATTCAAACTTTTCAAGGTGTTTTAAGTTAAATTTTTCCACTGTGGTAGCAATGTAACTTCAACTGTCTCAAATAAAGGTTGTCTCTGTTGCAAGGCAATGTCCCTGTTCAAGCAACAAAGAACTCTGCACATAGCTGAAGTTATTTGTAAAGAGTTTCCTCTTGAGATGAGTTCAGCTTGGCCTCTCACAGAATAGAGGCCAGCTTCAAAGCTTCTTCAAAACCTGAGTTTCATTTTGCCTGATAATGCCTGCAGTGACACAGAAAACTTGCATACTGATACTGCAAAAACAGATTTGCAGAGTATATAAAACTAAACTCAAGACATTATTTCTTGAGCCTACAGGAGATCTTCTGTCATATTCTGCACGTAGCAGTCTTGTCTCTGGTTTGGAGGAACCGGTTCAATCACATTCCCACTTCGAGATGTATTTTCAGGCAAGTATAGCATCAGCAGAGATACAGGTAGATTACTGATGCTCTACCGACACCTTAAAGGTACAGCCTACAGCATAAGTCAGCAAATGAAAGGGGATCTGTGTCTTTACAGTTTAGCCCATGGTATCTTGGCTTAGTTCCTTTACAACGACAAGAAATAGCACAAACAGTTCAGCGAAGTTTAGCGGACAAAGGGCAAACTTTCTAGCAATGGCAGAGTTTGTTACCAGAACAGGGAGAAGTTTCAACACAGAAAACACACGGTTCTTTCCTTGAAGTGCTTTTACCCTAAAACCCACAAACTGGTCCCTGTGAATCAACACATGAATTTAAAGAAATCCAGCACCTTGTTTCTGATACGATCCCTCTTAATTGTATCTTCTTTTTTATCGTCTTTGGTTACTTTCTCAGATTTGTCCGTGCTGCTGGTAAAGTCTGTAAGATCACTTTTCTTTCCCTTTTCTCTGAGTAAGTCTCTCTCCTTTTTCACCTCTTCCTCTTTTCTTCTAAAAACTTTCTCTTTCTCAAAGCGTTCTTTTTGCCTCCGACGCTCCTCCTCTTGGCGTCTCAGTTTCTCCCTCTGTGCTCTCTCATATTCTCTGTCTCTTTCAAAATCTCTATCTCGATCCCTGTAGTCCTTTACACACTCATCTTCTGATCTGTATGAAAACAAAACTGAAAATTAAGCTCAAAAGATTCACCAAACAGAGCTGGGAGATCAATGTAATACTGGTGTAAATTTGCAATACGAAGACGACACACTGGTAGGTTCTAGGGAGCTTTCGGGATGCTGTAATAACCTGAGTCATGCATGACAACCAGAGATGACACTGACTGCTAGCATTTCCTAGCCTTCTACCCGTGGCTGACCGAGTTTCCTCTGGCTTTAGAAAACACCTGAATTTCTCTGCTTCATCTCTGTTTCTCACATGAACTGAACCTTGAACAGATCACGGAGCTGCTGAGAATTACACTTTCCACTTTGACCTTTTACAAGGCTTAAAGGGATTAGTCAGTGGAGTACACGTCTCCTCTTGCCATGGTTATAATTCTCTCATTGCAAGGACAGTGCTCACAGCCTGCTGCAGGTCACCTACACCTGGGCTTCTTTTGCCGAGTTCCTACAGTGAGTTAGTTGTAAAAATATTAAAATTTGTCCACTAGTGAAGAATTGGCAGGTAATTCACACAGCTTTCTGTTTCACAGGGATGTGGACTGCCACAGAGAACACATCCCATGCCTCATATCAGAAAAATAATTTGAAAGGAATTTCAAAACATGGTCATGGCAGAGCAGTCTAAGCTTCAGTATGATCAGGAAACAAGTTATATATACATATATATATTTATAGCAAGTACTAGAATACTTTTTTGCCTTCTCTTCTTTTGTCTCCCCATCAGATCGTTTGGCAGATGCACTACTCGCATTTTTTTCCTCCCTCAGAGTCTCTTTTTCCAGTTTCTTGGATTTTTCTTTTTTCTCCAAGTCTTTTTCATCTTTTTCAGGCTTCTTAAGTAGCTACAAAGAAAACAGAAGTCTCAACTAAAAAGCTCACTCTAATACATATTGTCTGGCACAACACCGAAATTGCATCAAAGGAACCGTAGTCCAGTAAGAAATAAACATTAAAGTAATATTACTGCAAATCATAGTATTTCTAAAAGCTGGAGTGTATGAGTAAGCATAATCCACACAGCAGACTAGGATTTTTCTCCTAAAACAGGCCATTTTAGAAAGCTTAAAAATAGTCTCCATTCCATAGTGAATTCACAATTCTGTTTACCACAGCATGTACAACAGTCACATGACAAAAGCTTTAAATATCACTAGGAAGCATTACAGCATGTAAACCTTTACAATGCCTAATATTCAATATTACAAAAGAGTGGTAATTTACTAACACCAAACTCATGTGATTCTTCACACAATACTCAAAGCACATTTTGAGAGACTGATATACAAATAATAGGGGAAAGGGAGTATAACAGTTTATAATAAAGAACTGTTCTAGACCTTAATCTTTGGTTCTTCTTTTGATCTGTCTCTTTCTTTTTCTGGGCATCTGTCTACTTTCTTCAGTTTTTCTGCTTCTTTTCTCTTCCTTCTCTCCTCCTCCTTCCATTTTCTTCTCTCTTCTTCTCTTTGTCTTTTTCTTTCCAATTCTCTCCTCCTCCTCTCCTCTCTCTTTTCTTCTCTCAGCCTCTGTGTATGTAAAAGCAAAAAGAAATAGTGTATTTCCACTCTAGAAAACACCCCTTTAAACCTAACAAGATACCCTGCCACAAAGTGATACAGTATTTCATCACCAAATAATTCACCTCAAAACCTCCCTAGTTACAAAAGTCCTGTCATCTCTATTGTTCTGTTCTGAACCCAAACATGTTACAGCAGCATTTCTTTTATTTTTGCCTTGCTCATAAGCCTTGATTTGTAGTGTCTTAAACAAAACAAATACAACATTATCTCAGCCTTTATCAGTCTAATCTTAATTAAATCTGCCTCACCTGTGATCTTCTCTGTCACTAAAAGTTAAAATGATATTATGTGCTAGGAGAAAGATCATCTGCAAGGACCTCAGCTGTAACTGCATTAAAAATTAAAGCTTTAAAATGGAATCTGGTTTAGCAGTGCCACAAAAGACATTTAGCTGTGACTAGAATGCACACAAGGCACCACCATTCCTACAAAGACGAGCGTTCTAGTCGTTTGAAATCTGCAAAACAGATGTTAGCAAGTAAGTTGGGTCAAAAGCTTATTATTGAATAGAAAGGGCAGAAACAGATCGATATACACACCGCAATATACACACCTATGCTTTAAATGAGCAAATTGTACTTGCAAGCAACAAGAAGATTCTGGAGATAAGTCTTACCTGTTTATTTTTCAAGAAGTTCAATAAAGGAGTAGTCTTTTTAGCTGGAGAATATACAAAACAAATGTAAACAATTTGCCTTATCCAACACTGCAATGCCTACACCAAAACCCTATACGAAATGGAGCAGCCTTATGGATTATCCAGCCTCTCTCCTCTCACATACAGCAGGGAAACAAGTGTTCCAATCCTATCCCTGAAGAGCAGCAACTATTAGGATTCTATAAACCTCTTTAGGACACTAATATGATATTCAGCACATCTATTTGTAATGGGATATTCAGTCTGCATTAGGCTTTTCCTAGATTCTCTCACTTTGAAAGAGATACTCACAATATGCTTAAAAAGAGCATTCTGGTCATTTGTGTGGTGTTTTACCCCACACTCTCTCTTAACTCGTGCCTGCATGGAACATCACTGCTCAGAGCGTTTTGCATTAAACATCACTGCATCTCACCGAAGCACAGCCACGCCGCAGCCCAGTCTGGCTAACACCTGACTAGCAGTTTAAAACAGGAAGGAAGGTTATCCTATAAAACTTAAACCTAGAGAAGAACTTACAGCATGAGAGCAAAATAAAATACACTGAATAATATTAGCCTAAAGGTTTAACAAATACCAAGCAAGCACACAAAAGAATGCAATCTCCTCAAGGCTGAAAAATCACGGCTTCAAATTACACCACATACATTTCTCTGTGTTCTAGGAAAACATAACTACAGTACATAGATTTCCATACCTATTAGCTCTTTGTTTCTTGCCTCTATTTCCTCCAACAAAGTTTCAGGAGTGGAGGTTAATTTTTCATCATCTGCACTGTAACTTTCCAAAAACTTCTTGTACTCTGGATCTACGGTGAAAAATCACGGCTTCAAATTACACCACATACATTTCTCTGTGTTCTAGGAAAACATAACTACAGTACATAGATTTCCATACCTATTAGCTCTTTGTTTCTTGCCTCTATTTCCTCCAACAAAGTTTCAGGAGTGGAGGTTAATTTTTCATCATCTGCACTGTAACTTTCCAAAAACTTCTTGTACTCTGGATCTACGGGGGAGTAGCTTGAAAAGAATTTGCATTGTGCACTGCTGGAAGTCTGGGTTAGATTTACATAAGTTGTGTTGTTTATAGGTCACCTTTTCAGAAGCTGGCAGCTCTCAAATGAGCTGCTGCATTATATTTGTCTAGGACAATCACATTTAATAGATTTGCAGCTGACAAAGCAGCGTTAATAAGTTTCACATATAATTAAGCAAACATTCTATTGATAAACTACAGCATCACAGTATGCTTTGTCAGCTGTTAATAAGTTTCACATATAATTAAGCAAACATTCTATTGATAAACTACAGCATCACAGTAAAAACATAATATTAAAATCACTGCTAGGACTTTCAAGTCTACAAAACAAACTAGCTAGCGGTTTTACCGTCTTCGATAGTTCCAGTTTTGGCATCCTTTTTCTTACTCTTCTTTTTTGCAGCTTTTTGGAAAGGTGCAAACTCAACTATGGCAGCATATTCCTGACCTGTTAAGAGAAGGGGGAAAGATACATTAAAATACAAATGAAACAGATTATTTATAAAATATATTCTCTATGTCTAAAGCAGGAAGATAAGCCTTGCAAGAATTATGCAATACTAGAAGAGACTGCTTGGACAGCATAAAAAAAAATTCTTGTACTTTAAAAGCCATTTAATAAAAAAACCCCCAGAATTCATGACCTAACACTCTCACTATGTTAACAAAACAGCAAATTCACAGACTCACAACAAGGAAGAAATACTAGATTTAAGACTGCCCATAACTGTCAGTTGAACCACCTCAGCTACACCGCACCATGTAATATCCTCATCCTACGGACTATGTATTCATTGTGCAAGCAGAAGAGAGTATTTTAAGTTAGCGCAACTGAGGCAAATCTCAATTTTTGGCAAAATACAACAGAATGTAACACATTGCATGCAGGCTTTAAAGCTCTGTCTTCTGACAAGAATGCTACATTTATGGCTGTATAAATCCAATCCTGCTGTTGGGTATGGGAAATACAGCGTGCTGTTACACTGCAAACCAGCTTATTTAAAAGATCTAGGTGTTACCTGAATCCTGTCAGGCAACCCTCCTAAATAAGAACCTTGTGGACAGAGCTTTCTGTCACATAAGTCACCTGGCCGGGTGAAGTGTTAAACACATGTACTTGAAATAAAGTTCAAGGTGAAATCCTTAGCCTACTGAAGCCAACAGGAAGACTCTTGTTAAAACTTTTGCTAAATACATAAGTTTAAGGTCTATCAATGAGACACTAACAACTTTTAGTGCAACTCGATGTAAGCAGTTTTGAAATGAAAATTTTAAAAACATGAGATGTACTGAATACCTAACATATATTTAGAAAAAAAAGATAAGTGGCAAATAAATATTTGGATGTTTAACCCATGAATTAAACAAACTATTTGTTTCCTACAGATTCATGTTTCCAGAGAGCAGTCACTTTCACAACTTAGACTGCAAAGAACAAGCTGTTCCCTTTTCTGAATCAAGATGGCTCACAGCTATAAATTGAACAAGCAATAATCTGAATTAAAAACTGACCAAAAAAATACATCACACTGTCAGAAGTGTACATAACAGGTGAGGGGAATAGCAGAGGGCAGCATCATTAACCTCAGCTTCATGTAGTTTGGACAGCGACACACCTCACTTTCACTTTTCAGACTTTATACCCAGGTATGACGGTGTAAGTATTAACCTTGGTAACACAGCAACCACTTTTACATTGATACCGCTACTGCCTTGAGATAAACTTAACTGGGGTTTACACACAACATACAAAACCAATCAGATTAGTCTCCACAAAGCATAAGACATCTTTGCTGTTTAAAATACTGCGTGACGTTCGTTTAAGGCACTAAATCCACACAAATCAAAAGCGGCACGTTACACCGCTCACATCTGTCCCTCTAAAATTCAACTCACACACTGCACACACACCAGGAAAGACTCAAACGTCCAGCCGAGCGCCTTTCACTTGCCTTTGTGATCGACAAAAACATAGCCGTCAAAGCGATCCCTGAAGAGGACTATGTCTTCCTGGTTTTTAAAGTTGATGTAGGCTCTCGAGAACATGTGGGGGTACAAGCTGCAGAAAGACAAGACCGAGAGAGCAAGGCTGACTGGGCGGCGGCGGCTCTCGGGGTCCGGCTGGCGGCAGCGGCGGCTCTCGGGAGCCGCCCGGGCGG